AAAATAATGGTACACAAAATTGAATTAATCATGCATGCATGCATGCATATACTATACCCAAACCTTAATGATCTTTTAATGAAATATGATGTTATTAATCTGGCTTTCTGCATGCTTAAGTTTTTAATTATTACGTGATTGCTAAGCAAAATAATTAATCAGAGGATTAATCTGGTTCCGACGTCGTGCATGGGATTGCATGGATTTGGTTGAGGAAAGATTAGGTGTTTTTAGTTAATTATAATCTGTGGGGATTTGGGATCATTAGCTTAATTTTATAATTAGATGTTTTATACAGTGCTAATGATGAAGAATGTACGAAGGGCATTTAAAATGAGTAGTTTTTTTTCACATTTTAATTAAAATACAAGAAATGTATATAATAAATTATAAGGTCATAAATGTTTTATATTATAAAATAATACTAGAAGTTATGCTTTGTCCAAAGACAAAATCATAATACTAATATTTTTCATATACTTTCAAGGATTATTCATGTAAAATATTGTTGGAATATCCTTATACTTTTGATCCAAGAGCAAACTAATATGTAAGAGACAAATAATGACATGCAAACATAACTAATTGTAAGAGAAAAATATATAATTAAAGCATTCAGCGGCGTGTACTTAGATCAGTTGGACGGGCATCTGTTTGTCAGTTGTAAGTTCTCTCTGGTCGGGGGTTCGATTCCCCCTGAGTGTAAGATGTGGTACTCGAATTATTAGGTGCAGGAGGGGTGACCGGGGCTCGTAAAGCATTCAATTATTAATTTGCATTGAACATGCACTTCCTTGGGCACAAATTGGAAAAATTAAATATTTACTTTTAAGGTTCATTGTAGAAAACTTACAAAATAGTTTGAAAATATGAAAAAGGTGGTGTGGTACAATGTATTTTTTATCATGCATGCCTTGAGTAACAAGAGAAGCCAAAGGAGGTATTAGTAGTAGTAGGTGATGAGTTGAATTACACAAAAGCTTGTCCCCACAATAGCACTCCCTTCTGTTCACTGACCAGCTTTCTCTTCTTTTGCATTCATATTTTCCATATATATATATATATATATATATATATAAGAAGAAAAGGCTTTATCTTTTTTGCAGTGGGAATTTCATGTGTAGACAATAATGGCAAAAGATCATGGCCCCCAAAGATGGGAACATGACATAGAAAGCCAGAGTCTTGATATATTTCTGATGAGTCTGCCATGGAGCACTTTTTTAACTAAATATATGGATTATAAGCATGCTTCTATTTGAAGATTTGAGAAGGCATGATTAGAGAGCTCAGTTGATTTTGCTCTAAGGTATATGAATTTAACATAAATCTAACCAAATATAAAAAATATATATATAAATTAAATCTAACACTCCGTTAAATCAAACTTCCGCTGTTCATATCTGCTTATCAGACTCTGTCAGCGATCTTCTTCTCGATCTGAAAAGTCTGAATTTTTAGTGGATTTGATAAATCATATTTAAGTTAAGGTCAAGGTGGAAATGCTTATATTCATTAAATTATAAAATGGACTTAGAAATTAATATTAATTGATTTAAAGTCTACATTGATAAAATCAATTAAAGTCATTTATATGTACCAAGGACAGTTGAAAATGCTTGCTTAGAAGGAAAGTGATTGGGAACAAAAGTAGAAGACCTTTTCCTTTGTTTTTAGTGGACACTAGCATGTATTTGGGGTTCTTTTATTTACAAATATTTAAATTTTTAGATGTATTTTAGATGTAATTTAAAATAAAATTAATGTGTTGGAAGTATTTTGTGAGGTTTGATTTGTCATAAATATATAACAAGTTTTAATCATTCGTGAAACGCTCCAATTTTTGCGAGCAAACATGACTATTTAGTTAAAAGCTGTTACGCTCGTTTTTACGAAATAACTTTAGGAGAAGTTAGTTCCGGAGATGCTGTTTCATCAAACGAAAGTTTTTTTACACGTCGTCGTTCACTATAATGAAACGGAGTATCACCACTTTCTCAAGTAAAACCTTAGTGAATTGGAATAAACTCAAACAACATTATGGTTTGCACAATCTCTAAAAAAATCTGATTTTTTTTTTTTTAAATTAGAGTTCATCTACCTCTGACATCCCACATTGGCAATTGTTTCATCTGCATTATGGTCTCTACTTTTAAGCAGCATCTCTCACATTTAGTACCTTTTTTTCTTTCCCTGTGTTATTTTACTCTTCTTGTCTTCAAGGGAAGTCCTCTTCTTAAAAAACTATGTAAAAATTTTCAGAAACATCTTTAGTAATGCATGCCTAGCAAATCATAACATGCATGAATATATACATATATATAATTTTAGTACTCTTATCATCTAATGGCATGTTACCCTATTCTAAACTATACTATAACTTATTTTTGAAATATCAAACTTTTCGCTCTCATTAACATATTTTGAGTTTTGATGAGCTAAATAATCACACAACTAGTCTTGAGGGGTTGGGTATTACTCAAAGATGTTGACATAAGGCATTAATAAGTGAGTTTGAGCTAGCTTACTAAGTGAAAGCTTAAGTTGATTCCTCACATTTAAGGGACGAAATATAAGGATCGGATGTCCGCACGTTCAATCACGAGATGTCATATCACCTTATATGGTATTTGAATCCACGTGGCCTATTGTGATTGGACGTTTGGGGATAATATTTTTTCTATTTAAGGAGAGGTATTTAGTGTTTTTTATCTTTTAGGATTTCATATAACTTTGAGCTAATCTGTATGGGATATGACGAAGCATGGTTTTAAAATTAAGCTTGAGGAATTTTATGTTGTAGGTTTAATTAAGAAAATATGTTGTAAATGATGATAATAATTTACTCGCCTATTAAGGAATGCGGATCAAAATAAAATCAAAATTGCTCTTGGCCAACCATTAATATTTTTATAAGAAAATATGTTTTTTTTTATCTATACTACTAAGTGCTAAAAATAATATTTCTAAATGTCATAGTAAGTCTCCTCCCTCATGTGATACTTCTCTATGTTGATTGTTACATCACCTCAATTGAAAGTCTTCAAGAGACCCCGCAATCTATGATATATTAATAGTAGTATTCACTTGATTCATGCCCAATCATGATAGCCTAAAAATCCTTGTCAAGCTTTCATAGCTTAAACCACTTATTACAAAATGTGAATCAAATGGGGCCAAATTAACCTCAATAAATTTATAATCAAATCAACACTGTCATTATCGGGTCCCCAAGTCCCTGATGTGAAAAGTGAAGGGTTGTGTTACACAGTTGACAACCAACATAAAATTTGTCAAAATATCATGACATGAATACTTTTAATCATTGTGTAAATATTTATAATCAAATCAGTTTAATCATAATCCCTCCCACATACCATCAACTCTAACCACTACTTAGGAATTGTGAACTAAAGTGGGCCATGTTGGTACATTGATGAATATACTTATTTTTAGCTCATGAATTTAAGATTATTAATGTTACATAAATATAATTTTATCAATATAATGTAAAATTAAAATTAAACATTTGTATGTAGTTGAAAAACTAATTCAAAATTAAGGTTGCTTTTTATTAATAAGATATTCCCTTTAGGTGGTAACAACTAGCATGTGGAATATTTTCCCCTTAAAAGCTAATAAATTAGGATGGTTAAGATATTGATTGTGTGTAACAAAGTTTAATACATAGCAAGGTTTTAAAATTGGAGTTAATTGTGATTTGATCTTGTTATTTGTTAGATCATGATTCTAAATCCTTTTTGCACAGAAATATTGAGATCCAAATTAAGTTTAGGTCCTATTTTTAATAGTCTAATTGTACCATTAATTATGTTTTTTTTTGCTTTGATTAATTATAATCAGGTGATTAGAAATAAAATATTTAAATGTAAAATAAGAAAATAGTTAAAATATAATTTCATAAATTTTGATTTAAAATTTTCAAAATGTCTTGAATTAAAATATTATAAATTAAATTGTCATATTTAAAATTTTCGAAATGTCTTGAATTAAAATATTATAAATTAAATTGTTTAAAATACAAATAATGCATCATTATAATATTAATTAAATCATACCAAAATAGTTTCTATATGTTTTTTTTTTTTTTTAATTTTATTGATTTACTCCGTGCTTGAGGCATCGATGCGATGATTGCAATATCGCGCCACTTTTGGCGTTCAGTAAAACTACATTTTAGCTGCTTTTTCTAAAAATTATGATGAAAAACTACATTTTGCAGCCTAACCTAAGCAAATGTGATGGCTACAAATTAATTATGGTCGTACTTAAAAAAAAGTTTGTAATAACCGTTTGAATAATAATTTCTTCTGCAACAACTTCATGATTACTTTAAACAATTATAACTACTTCTTTAAACAGCTGGGGCAGCTTATCATTTGGTTCGCGTGTTTTGCAAGCTTATCCGAAACTGCGTTTGAGTTTTTATACTAAACGCAGACCGCGGGTCGACCCCTGCGGGTGGCCCGTGGGCCGCCTTTCAGAATAAGCTAGTTTCGCGTTTCAGGATAAGCAGCTTATCCTGAAACGCACAAGTTGTCTCAAACGGAATCTTAATCTCAAATAGAAAGTAAGATAATTCCATTGGAGTGAATGAATTTTGATAATTCAAACTTTATTGGTTCAGCATAAAAGAATGATATATTCAAATAAACTTTAGATATGAAATGTTCCACCCCCATCAACCCACCAACACAGTGTAAGTTCTTGGGAAAACCACTAAGGAAGACAACATCATTCCTGTTGCCTCTGTATTTAAATCTAAAGCTAAACTTTGGTGGTTGAAAGATTCCACACCAACACATTTCAAGATATTCCAGGTTTAGCTTATCTAGACATCTTCTAAGCTCTCACTACACGAAATTCCATAAAAGCCAAACCAAAGAGCTGATTCACATTCAAACTTGACTAAGGGAAAGCTAATTATTGAATTAAAAAATACTTTTTGGAAAAAGAATTAAGTTATGACAAGCTATACCTAGGATGATACAACTCTGCCATTAAAGGGTATAATTTGTTGCAGAGGTTAATGAATGTTATTATGTATTAAATAAGAGAAGAAAATCATATACATCTCCTAGAGATTATATGAAAGTGTATAAATAACACTTACACTACCAAAAATTGAGCTTCTTTGTCTTGCTCTAGAATAGTCAAGAATGCTCCTCAGAGAGCTGGATGGGATGAACCGAAACCCCGTTTCGAGCGTTATGAACTCGGCCCCATCGTCCCAAGCGGGGCTCCTGATGCAAGCACACCATATAAACAAAAAGTTAGGACTTGTTTGGGATCAATTTTATTTTATTTATTTATTGTTTTTAAAAACATATTTAATTAGCTCAAAAAAAAAGTTTTAAGGATAAAATTAATTGCAGGAAAAGGATAAAATGGACAGGGGCTTACCTGTCCAACCCCAGCTAGAAGAAAGCGGCCAGATTTTGAGAACGCAAGTGAATTGGCAAATCCAACCTGCATTAATAAGATGTTAGTTAGCATCCAATCAGAAAAAATGCAAAAAAGGAAAACATCAAGGTGAGTTTTTGCTGCATTATCTTACTGGTTTGACAGGATCTGCTAATTAGTGCAAGGCAAAACAAGAGCTGACATCAGGATTGTTCAGACGATTGCTTATAAGAAATTAGTTGATGAAAGTCTCATTAATTGGTGATCTAGGCAGAACAAATGTGTGTGCAATTTTTTTTAAATTAATAGTCATTATTTTACCATCGGTTCACACTATTGCTTCTTAATAAGAAACTGAATTTGGCAGAGGAAGAAGATTTTTTTCATTTTCTAAGGACCTTTGCCAATCCTTGGGTACCCATTTTTTATTTGTTTTTTTTTTGTTCTTTGAAAAATATTTTTTTCTTTCTTGTCAGGTTGATAAGAAATTAAATGTTTTGTTTTTTTTTTCGGTGAAGGGAAATATCATTGATTGATCCCATAAAATTATCTTCCTATTGTTCAATAAAGTTGAAAAGGAGGTTGTATCTAGAAATGCATTTGCTCATATTTCCTAGGTAATCCTAATTATCTATAATGTACTTTGAAATCAAACAACTAAGACATAATTAATTTGCATTCCTACCATTTCCTTTAAGCAAAACAAACCATTAAGGTTACAGTCCATGAACCCAAACACCAAAGTTTTAAGTGCAGACTGAGGAAAGAATAACTACAATTCAATTAACATTCAAAAGTTCATTAAAAAAAACAGAAATTTACATGTGTGGCACCCAATTGTGGCACCCAATTCTTCTACATTTACGTATCTCACACCAAAACTTTGATTTTTACAAACACAGCACATTACCCATGCATGAAAATGTGAATTTCATTGTTCCACACCATTGAAATGTGTGAATTGGGTGCTGTTTGTAAAATGAAAGTTTTGGTGTGTCATACGTAAATGGATAAGAATTGGGTGCTGCGTATCTGAATTTCCAAAAAAAAAAAAATGCTTTAAAAAGAGGAAGTAAAACAATGTGTGAATGATACCAAGGGATAGGCAAATAAAGGCTGGATGCTTTTATCATCACTTGCAATGGTCCATAGACGAACAACACCATTAGCAGCTCCAGATGCAGCAAGATCAGTTCCTCTGCACACAGCAACTGAGCTGACCCAAGATTGAGCTAAGGTAGAGCTGCCGCCTTCACAAAACCCATTTAACATACAAATAAAAAGATTAAAAAAATCAGTCAATGTTACAGAAAATGCGGGAGGAAATACTATAGGCATGACTGGGATAATTTTTGTTTTTTGCTTTTTATTGTTATTATTATTTATTTATGTTATGATTTAACAGTGTATTGTTGGGTCCCGGATGTGAAAAGTGAAGGGTTGTGTAAAGTAGTTAACATTCCACGTAAAATTTGGCGAAAAATCATGACATGAATCATTTTGATTGTTGTGTAAATGCTATAGCGTCCCCTGGAAGTGACTCGATGTATAGTTTCATTACGGTGAAAAGTGTGTAAGGGCAGCTACACTGGCGTCGGGTATAGTGTCAAATAAACAAGGGTTCTCACATTTCAGATGAATGAGGTAAAGAAATTAATCTATGAAACTAATATTAAGATAGCATCTTAGAATATAGGTATTCTCACGGGTAAATTAATCGAATCAGTTGATATTATGATTCATAGTAAGATAGATATCTTATGTATTCAAGAAACTAAATGAGTAGGAGAAAAAGCTTAGGAGATTGATAACTTAAGTTTTAAACTTCTATATTCAAGTAAGAGTCACACTAGAATTGGTGCAGGTGTAATTATAGATAATAGTTTAAAAGATAATAGTGTAAAAATTAATAAAATTGGAGATAGAATTATAGCCCTAAAGATTATTATTGAAACTAAGATTTTTAAAACTAAGATTTTTAATATTATATTATTGAAACTAAGATTTTTAATATTATAAGTGTTTATGCTCCTCAAGCAGGTTTAGATATATGCTCTAAAGAAAAATTTTGGAATGACTTAGAAGACTATACAAATGATACCTCTTGAAGAAAAAAATTTTATTAGAGGAGATTTAAATGAACAAGTCGGTAGAGTGATGAAAGATTTTTTAAATATCATGGTGGCTACGGTTCTTGAGTGATTTATGAAGAAGGGAGAGTCATATTAGATTTTGCTTTAGCGTTTGATTTTATTATTGCTAATACTTTATTAAAAAGAAAAGATAAAAAATTATTACTTATAAAAATAGATCTAATAAAACACAGATTGATTATTTTCTTACGATGAGAGATAGTTGAGAATGAAAAGAATGTAAGGTCATTCCAAGTAAGAATTTAAGTACTTAACATCGATTATCAGTTCTATATTTTAAGATTACGAGTTGTAAAATAAAAAATACTAAGAATCATTGTCGTAGAATTAAATAGGGGCACCTAAAAAACACAAATAAAATTAATTTTTATGAAAAAAACTTCAAGATTTCAAGACTTGGGATGTTCATGAATAAGCAAATTCTATATAGAATAAAGTAACAAACACTATTAAACAAATGACAAAAGATATATTTGGAAAATTTGAAAAATTAGAAGAAAAAATTTTCATAAATAAAAATAGTTGATGGTGAAATAATAATGTACAAGAAAAGATAAAATATAAAAACTTATGCCATAAAAATTAATTTAAATGTAAAAGCTTAGAGAACTGAGAAAAATATAAAATGACCCGTCGGGAGTCTAAGAAAACAATCTGTGACATTAGCGATCTTTATAACATATTAGAAACTAAAGAAAGTGAAAAATATATGTATAAACTAACCAAACAAAGAAAAAAGAAAAGTAAGGATTTAACTCAAGTGTATTAAAGATGAAAATCAAAAAGTAATTTTATTATGATATTCAGCATAATGGGTGAAAACATTTAACTCAAGTAATGTGTATTAAAAATGAAAATCAAAAAATATTTTTATCAAAAAATATTTTTCTTAGAAAAAGAAATTCAACATAGATGAGTGAGTTATATTGTTAAATTTTTAATTAAATTTTTGAAAATACGATCTACCATAGTGATCTTAATATCGTTAATAATAATAAAATGTTACATTTTTTACCGTCACATTAGTAAATAAAGTTGAGGATGTTTTAAAAAAAAGTAAGGGTGGAAAGCCTGTAGGACCTGATGATATATCCCAATTGAAGTGTGGAAATATATAGGAGATTTGACAGTTTATTGGCTCACTAAACTCTTTATATTATTTTAAAAGCTAAAAAAAATGTCTGAGGAGTGGAGGAAGAGTATGAGGAAGAGTATTTTGGCTTTCATTTTTAAGAATAAAGGGGGTGCACCAGAGTGTACAAATTTTAGAGGAATTAAGTTGATGTGTCATACTTTAAAATTATGGAAGAGAATAATTGAACATATGTTAAGATTGATTACAAAGATTTCTCATAATCAATTTGGATTTATGTCGAGCCAGTCTACTATGAAAGTTATACAATTATTGAGAGATTTGATGGAGAAATTCAAAGAGAATAAGGAGGATCTACATATGATTTTTATTCATGTAGAAAAAGCTTATGATAAGGTTCCAAGAGATATCCTTTGGAGAGTTCTAGAGGAGTTGATATGACTTATATTCGAGTCATTAAAAATATGTATGCTAGAGTCGTTACTTGTGTTCGAACAAAAGTTGGATTGACCAAGTATTTTCCTATTTCAGTTGGATTACATCAGGGATCGGCTTTAAGCCCGTATCTTTTTGCTTTAGTTGTGCTCATACTAGACATTTACAGTAGGATGTACCTTGGTGTATGTTTTTCGCTGATAATCTCCTTCGCGTGGATAAGACTAGAGAAAAAGTTCAGGAAAAACTTCAATTATGGATGTCTACATTGGAGTCTAAAGGCCTTCGTTTGAGTAGAACTAAAACTAAATAGATGGAATATTATTTTAGTAGTAGTAGCTCTAGTGACAAAGTTGTCACTGAGTGATCAAATTATTAAAAGCTGTGAACGATTTAGATATATCGAGTCTATTGTTCAAAGTGATGGTGATATAGATGGGGATGTTATTAGTAGAATTCAAGTTGGTTGGTTGAAGTGGAGGAATGCTTTGGGTCTATTGTGTGATAGAAAAGTACTACTTAGACTGAAGGAAAAATTTTATAAGATGGTGGTGAGACCTACGAAGCATAAAACTAAGTAGAGTGTTGTCGAGATGAGAATGCTTAGGTCGATGAGTGGCTTTACACTTGGAGACAAAATGCAAAATGAATATATTTGTGATAGGGTTGGTGTAGCTCCACTGGCAGACAAAATTAGAGCAGACAAAATTAGAGAATTAGAGAGTCGTCTTTAGATGGTTTGGTCACATTAAAAATCAATCAGCTGATGATCTCAACAGGAGCAAATGTTTTAGATTCAACTTATGTTAAAAAAGGCAGAGGTACACCTAAAAAGACTTGAGCATATAAAAATGATCTCAATTTATTATAAATAAAAAATGATCTCAATTTATTAGAATTAAATGAAAATATGACACTCAATACGACGCAACGAAGAGAAAAAATATTCATGTAGCCAGCCCCACTTAGTATGATAAAGGTTTGTTGTCGTTACTTATGTTGATTTAAATTAAAACATATTTGATTGAGGTAGTTACTTATGAAAAAACTGAAAATATCTTTTAAGTGCTTTAAGTGTTTTTCAAAAAAGGTTGACTTATTTTTAAAAACAAAAAATAAAAATATATAAAAATTATATCAACTAATCATATTCTCATAAGCAAAAGAAAAAAAACAAAAACAAAGAACAAAATTAATGCCAAACAAGCCCTAAGCTAAAATGACAAATACAGAAAAAAGCATGAGCATTTTTTTTCCCCCCTTTTTCTTCTCTTTTTCAATTTCGAAGATATGGAACAAAACATGGTATAAATAAGTAAGACTTTCGTGAAAAATGGCCAAGATGCTCAGATTCTTCTTTAGGCAACATGCATCATAAGCATTGTAGGAAGGTATCTTACCTGCATGATTTCCATTAGGCAAGCCTTCATTTTTATCAATAGGCGAGTGCTCATTATGAAATGCTGACAGAGCATGTGCATTTTTTATAATATGAGTAGGCTTCTTCCGCAATATGCTCCAAAGCTCTATACTCCCATCATCAGATCCAGACAAGAATTCACCATCATTGATGAAGCAACAACACTCAAGCGATGATGCAGGTGCTCGGAAAACTAACTGTGATTCCTCCGGAACCTATAGAAAAAAAGTGAAGTACAAATCTTTAAAAGGCAACTAATTTCTTCACCATGAAATTTATCATCAGTGAATATGAGCGTGACAAAGCTAAAATCTGACGAATAAAAATAATTGGAAGCAAAATTAATTAGCATTGAAAATGTCCTCTCTTCTGTATACTTTTCTCAATGAAAATGGCATGTACAGCACATATCTTGAAATATTTTGCATAGCTGTATCTTAGATCACATATTTAATCAGTTTTCTGCATTAGAAGTGCTTAATTAGCTCAGTTTTTGCACTGTTATTAAGTCTTCAAATACCAATGAGAAAAGAGATCCTTTGACAGGACTTGCGATCAGCTTGAGAGGTGTAACCCATTGGCACAGTTAAACTATAAAAACTATGAAACATTCAATCATTTTTTTAATTGCATTAGGAAAACTGTCAGCATGAAATGATTATGGGGGAAATACTATATACCTTCTCCAATAGTAGATCAAAAAATTCTTGATTTAAACTCAGGTCAAATTAGCCATAGATAATAACAACTGTGGCAGTTAAATGATTGAAAAATAACAGAAGTTCCGTGTAAATCTACAGAAGTGCAAATAATTTCTGTTTTTCGATGTGTAATCTATAGCTTAATTTTGCTTTTATCAAAAGTACAATTTCTTGCTGTTTTAAATGTGAAGGTTAGTTTATTTGGTTAGTAAACTCTTCAAATTTTAATTATTTATCATGATTACAAATTAAAATGAAAATTGGCAGATGATATTAGAAAAAATAAAGAGAAATTGATAATGTTATTACATATGAAATGAAATGGTGAACAAACGGAAAATGCCTGAATTGTGCAGCATAAAAGAGATGAATATTTCTCCTTTATCACAGAACTTTCAGGAACCTGTAAAAAATTAAATGCAGAAAGGTAAGCCACTTAAAATCTTATCCTGTATTAAATCTAATGCCTAAAATTAAAATTTTTTTAAAAAATCAGGGCATTTATATAATGTTCAATCTTAAACATAAATTTTAAGCCATTGGGTTATTCTCTTTTGGGATCTACTCCTTTTGAATTAGCATCCAACACTTTGGCATACATATCTACACAACTTATTTCTTCATGCCTTTTAGAAGATGAGATTGTGTCAATTACTGTTGAAATTCTGAGAAATATTTATATTTCTTGCTTCATAACGAATTACATACAGCTATGAGTAATAGAGTGGTTGTTGACATACTGAAACGACTGTTGTTATTAGTACCAAACCAATAGCGATTCATACAAACTAAATCTTCTAATCTATAATTGGGCCAAAGAAACAATTTGAATTTAATGAAATTTTTTCTATCTGTATTAATATGTTTGTTCTTATTCAAAAATTACCCACTGTTTCTTATTTTATTTTCATTGAAAAAACTTGGATTTCTATCCACAGCATGAAAATTCCTAGAATTTAAACATAATCGAATTCGAAATTCTCTACGACATATGAGGGATAGAATATTTTCAGGAACAAGTAAATCATAATGATTTTTGTCTCCACTCAAAAATACATTGTTGCGTCGTGCAATGGATTTTTCAAACCCCCCCTTTCTCAATTCTTTTTTTTGTGTATTTTTATTTGTACGGTACTTCTTATTATCGACTAATGAAATATCCATAATTTGATATATAATAGATTTTTCGTCCTTCGTACAGATAGATAAATTGGTTCAATGATAAATATTCGTGGAAATTCTGAAAAAGATTTCTATTTCTTGCTTCATAATAAATTAGATACAACTATAAGTAATAGAGTGGTAATAGAGTGGCTGGCATACCTGCCCACAAATTACGAAACTGAAACTCTTTAAATTAGAAATCACATACAATTAGGAAATAAAAAAAAAGAGGAAATATTAATAAATAAACCAAATAAATCTTAAAAGATATCTCGAGTGAAGAAAATAAGATCTTTACTAGAGTACATAGATGGCTACTTCCAAAAGTCTCACTCAAGTTGGATTGTATATTTTACACAAGACCAAGCTTGAAATTCAATGTATCATGGCTGACCTTTGATAGTGTTTTAGTAAGAAAATCAACGATCTGGGGTCTTGTTGGAACATAACTTAGCTGAAGAATTCCCCTTAATATTTTTCTGAGATAAAGTTTTGATCAATCTCAATGTGTTTTGTTTTATCATGGTGTATTGAACTTTTGGCTATAATCTACTTCACCATCACTGAACATCTTAATTTTCTCCTTTGTCTCAACCGTAGGTTCCTTTAACAGTCTTTGAGGCCACATTCCTTTATATATTCCTAGTGCAAAAGCACGATATTCAACTTTTGCACTACTACGAGAGACAACAGTTTATTTTTTGCTTCTCCGTGTGACGAGATTGCTCCATACGTATGAACAATACTCAGTGGTTAATTTTCTATCAGTTACCATTCCTGCCCAACTAACATCTGTGTATATCTCAGTATCACGATTTTTAGATCTTTTGAAGAGCAAATCATGCCCAAGATGCATATTCAAGTATTTCAAAATTTTGTTCACTGCTTCCAAATGATCCTCACTTAGATTATTGATGTGTTGGCTTACTACAATAACCAAGTATGCAATATCAAGCCTTGTGTAGGATCAGCTTTCCCACAAATCTTTGATAACTTATTTTATCAACAAGACTACTTGTTTCACTTATGTTCAGGTTATAACATATTTATTTAACAAATTTAAAATGTAATTTCTTTGGCACACGACAATTCAAAACACCTCCATTCCAAGTATCTGAGAGTCAAGACATCATTGATCTCAAATTTTGTTGCAAGTATCATTTTTAGACTAATAATTTCCTCTGAATCATCACCAGTCAAAATAATATCTACATATACTATGAGAATAACAATTTTGCCTCTATGATTGGATTTAGCAAACAGTGTATGATCAGTTTGACACTGATGATATCCATTTGTAAACATAGTCTTAGCAAACCTGTCAAACCAAGTACAAGGAGATTGTTTCAAGCCATAGAAGGACTTCTATAGCTTGCAAACTAACTTGTTCGACCTATTTTCCAACCCTGGAGGTATAGTCAAGTAGACTTCTTCATCAAGATTATCATTCAAGAAAACATTCTTGATATCTAGTTGGTATAAAGGCCAATCTTGATTTACTGTAAGATAGAGTAGAACCTAAACAGTATTGAGCTTGACAACAGGTGCAAAAGTTTCATGTTATTCAATCTCATATGACTCTATGAAACCCTTGACTACCAATCTAGCTTTGAATCTTTTTACACTTTCATCTCCTTTATGTTTAACTGTGAATATCCATTTACAACCTATAGGATTTTTTTCATGAGGCAACTTTGCAAGTGTCCATGTGTTATTATTTTCTAGATCTTCCTCAATTGCTTATTTACATATCGAAACCTTTAGAGCCACTTGAATAAAATTAAGAACCTGCACATTATTAAGATTTGTCACAAAAATCCTGTAAAATGCTAAAAACTTTCCATATGTTGCATATCTTTCGATTGGAGGATCAATGCACCTTCAAACAAGAGATAAGGAATTTGTACCATTATAATTATCAGATACAAGAGGACTTGGTTTGGATTCTTAGCAGCTCTAGATTTGTATGGTATCCTCTATATACTCAGAGGTCCTTTTTCAACTGGTATAGACACAAAATTCTTGCTCAGTAATATCAAGTTGAGGTGGAGTAGAGATAATTGGGGTTGTTTCAAAGACAGTGTTTGGTTCTTCAAGTGGAGTTGGTTGAGTGGTAGGATTTGATTCATTTGTTTGACTGAATTTGATTCAGTTTGAGTGTCTTAGAAAAGTCCCAAATTTGATATTCCCTCGAAGTCTCCCCCTGAATTTTAGATTTTGGAAAATAAGATTGATTCTCATAGTAGGTGGCACCCATTGAGTTATAGCATTGTATCCTTTTTGGCTAGAGTAACCAATAAAGATACATATGAAATATTTGAGATCAAGTTTTTGGTGATGTTATTGGTGGATGTGCACAAAGACAAAACAACTAATGACTTTCAATGGCAAGCCAGCGAAAAAATAGCGGATATGTGGATAAAATTCTGAGAGATTATTACAAGGGCTTTTAAAATTTTATGACATGAATAGGCATTCTATTAATCAGATAAGTGGCTCTGAGTATAACTTCCTTTCAAAAATATTTAAGCACATAATTAAAGATCATAATGCCATGAGCCATTTCAAGTAAATGTAGTTCTTCCTCTCAGCAACCCAATTTTATTGAGTATCCACACAATAACTTTTATATGGATGATACCATGCTTGATAAGATAAGGACCAAAAATGCAGTTATAATATTCCTTAACAGAATTAATTTAATGAACTTGAATTTTACTTTGGGACAAAGGATCATGGAATGAAAGATATGAAATATATTGGCAGTTCCAGATTTTTTTTTATAAGAAATGTCTAAGTCACTCTAGTATAATTATCTATGAATGATAGAAATCATCGTGCCCCATTTAATCTTTTACTTGGAATCCCCCCGGATATCACTCTGAATAACAACAAAAAAATGTGAAATATGTCTAATATATTTTGTAAGTTTAAATGTTTCAAATTGATAAATAGATGTGAAAATATTTTTCAATATAAGCAAAATTTGATGACCAAGATGGCAATGCCTCGGAAATTAAACCTTTTATTGATAAATAGATGTGAAAATATTTTTCAATGTAAGCAAAATTTGATGACCAAGATGGCAATGCCTCAAAATAACTTGACTTTCAACAAAAGCGGACTTAGATTTAGAAATTAGATTAACATAATTTGAACTAGACTCAGAAATACACCGTAATGGCTGAACTTCTCTACCGATGAGATTATTTTCTTTGAGTGGATATAAACCACCATGCATCTCAACAATATTAATCACCTTCTCCAAATCCATTACCTGAAAATCACAAAATTTAAATAAAATTTAATCACACATTTTAAGTCGCGAGTACTTTTGTTAATTGAGAGTA